GTTTGGCTTCTCAACGGGGCTGAACCGGTGTTGACTGTTTTTAATGTCATCACAGTGTTGCTTCGTTAGATTTTATGCTGCTAAAGGCTGTATCAGCATTTCCGAGTTTGTGTTTGTGTACATTTCTCCACAGATACCTTGGAAAATTTCAGTATTTCCCTGAGAATACTTTTGAATTTGGAAGGGTCGTGCCTTAAGTTTGTTCTAGTAGCTTTATCTCATTTCTGTGTTTGTTTTCCACAGTATGGGTGGGATCACTCAGTTCACAAAAGGAAAAGGCTCCCCCCAGTGAAAAGGTCTCTGGTGTACTACCTGAAAGGTAGAGAGGTCAGGATGCAGGATGAGTCCAGCTATCACCGCTTGTTGCATGAATACGCAGCCCAGCAGCTTCCCAGCCTCCTGAAGGAGAGAGAATTTCACCTTGGAACCCTTAACAAAGTGTTTGCCTCCCAGTGGCTGAACCATCGACAAGTGGTGTGTGGGACAAAATGCAACACAGTAAGTGCCATCTCTCTGTTTCTCTTCCCTCTGTTAATTATGCCACCCCCATCCCTAAATGATGCTTACAGTAATCAAAGTATGTAGACTGCCAAGGAAAATATTAGTAATTAGAAGTGGAGTCAAGATCATGCACAATTAATTTTGAATGAAGGTAATGCTTAATGATGACCCCTTCTCAGCTGAAAATATGGCACTGTGCAGACAGCTGTGAACTCAAATGCCACACCTGTACCTCATGCAGCATCTGTGTGATCTGCACCAAGTGATATACATCTGTTTGTGGGATGGAAAGCACCAGTAGGGTTGAATCTTTCTTGTTCTGAAAATGGAGATTTAATTTTTAGCTTTGCTAAATGTGTTAGCTATTTGCTTAGCAGATGTTGCTTTTTTTCTTATACTCAGTCTTAGCACAGTTTGGTTTTTATATGTGGTTTTGTGCTGATGAATTTGAAAAGTTGCTACAAAACTCAAAACTGTGGGTAACTTCCAGATATTTGTCAGAGTAGCTAGAAACATTCCCAGTTTAAAAAGTGTGTACCAGATCTTCCAAAGGATTATCCTGTGCTTGGTAACTATGTGATTTTTCACTCTAAACCTGTTTCCAGTGTTCAAGTAAATTCTCTTGCTTATGTACCTTTATGTGCTTCAGCAAAAACTGAAACCTCTTCAGCCTCTAACAGTGATGCTTTGGATTTGAAACATTATAGAAAAATTTTAAAATTGTGTCATATGTGATTAATAAATGGAGGAAATCATGCCTCTTAGGTAGTATTCTCTCTGCTGGAGTTAGTGGCCCAGCTTCATTGGCTGAGGTTGCAATTTCACGTATGCAGTTCTGATTGAAAGTTTCAAAATCCAAGGTCTGTTCTTTGGAAGCTGCTTAGTGACACAGAAATTAATCAGCTGATGTAAGGAATGTATAGATCAAGCAGTCCTTAAACCTCAGTATATCAGTAGGTCTGTCTGCTTCTTTGCCTCAAGAATCTTTAGCCTGGAAGCTGTGCTCAGTGATCTGACCTGCAAGGGAAAGTGGTGTGTTTTTGTTTTCTTTTTATTTCAGATGTTCTGTTATTCATAGTTACACAGTGGGAGGCTTTCATGCAGTAGCTCTTAAGAAGCAAGGATTAGCTGTATAAACAAAACAATCTTTTAACGGGAATAAGCCCGAAATTGAATCTCTCTGCCTTCTTTCTCCCTGTGTGTTCATAGCCCTGGCTGGGCAGCAGCCAGCACTGCTTGTGGAACAGCTTACAGGAGACAAACTCCTGCTGTGCTTACTCTAGCAAGATGACTGTGTTTTATAGAGCTGGGTCAGTTTTGCTGTGTTCTGTAACTTCTGTAGTTCCAGTGCTGCTGCGGCAAAGACAAACGGGCAAGCGTGTTACTAACACAACCTAACAGAAAATGGTTTGGGACCAAACAGTCATTGAACTGAAGAAGGATTCAACCATATTGTTGTTCCCACTGCATATGGTGCAACGAAGTGTGTGCTTCTGCAGCTAGACTTAACGTTATAGATGGGCCTTGGTTTTTATTAAGCAAAATACAGTGGTTACAAAAGAAGTCACATCAGCACTGTGAAAGATTGTGTATCAATTATGAATACTGTACAAACCTTAGCTTACTTGCTTTGTGTTCACATTTGAACAAGTAGAGCGTTGAACCCTACACTCTAATTATGAGATTTTCTCTCTCATCTCCTGAGTCAGCGACCTAGTAAAGAAGAATTCCTTTGCCAGTTGTCATCTGCTGAAGTTGTGGCATTTAAGCTGGGAGTAAATCTAAAACAACGTGGTTGACTTGAATGGGATTTACTGCACTGGAGTTGCACATAATTAATAAGTTAATGCAACAGAAAAATACAAACCATAGCAGTTATTTTAATCAAAGCCTGAGTGTGCCACTGAGAGCTTTCAGCATTTAATTTAAAAACTGCCCTTGGCGATGCTGTGCCAGAAGGATTCACTGTTTTTAATAACAAAACAAAAATAATACTCTTGTCATAGAGGAGTGGGTTTGCTTCTAGTCGCCTGACAATACTAGTCACTATAAACATTGAAGAGACTATGGAGCTCTCTATTTTGCTTATTTTTAATGATAATTATAACTTGCTTAATTATTTTGAGTAACTTCTTAGCCTTAAAAATATCCCTGAGTATGATTGTGTATATGAAATAACTTCATTGTTCTGCAGTGGATCTGAGTGTTTACAGTTGGTCAGCTGTAAATCAAGTATTTGTCTTTTTAAAGGTGCACACTTTTTCTGATAAATTTTCAATTACAGAACCTATGCAGGTATTTAAGTGTCTGAAAATTCGAATATTCGAATACCATCACCTGTGTTTTTCTGAGGCCAGATTCATGCTTTCAAGAATTTCTAAATCTTGTATGCAGTGGGCTTCTTAATCTTTTCTGAATTCAAATGAATGAGTGGGCAAACCTCTGAGAGGTGCAAGCATTTAGGGTGTGTCACCATGGCATCTAAATAACCAAAGGCTGATTCTTAGAATCTCAGAAGAAGATTCTGTCTGTAATCAGCATCTTCTGTTCAGGTTTCTTAGAGAAACTGAGGTTTATGTAGAAGACAGCGTATGGCAAATGAGAACACTGAAAGTGAGGTTGCTGTAGATTGCTGTAGGGTTTTTTTGCTTTATATTTCAGGAAATGATGAAGAATAAACCAGCTTCTAATAAAAAGTTTCAGTAATCATTTTGAAGCTTCTTTTCTTTTTTGTTCCATTTGTTCCTTCTTCAGAACATAATTCTTTTGCTAATTGTGAAGTTAAGAGTGAAAATATACAAAAGCTCTAAATAATTCCCTATATACAAGAAGCTTATTAGTTTCTAGTTGCTTGATATAGCTGCCTGGAATTTTTTTGTTTGGGGTTTTGTTTTGTTTTGGGTTTTTTACATTTTTTTAGGCAGGCCTGATAGATACATTTGTGTTAAAAACTTCTTTATGGAATATTCTATTCTGTTTTCAGCTTTTCCATGGTGTGAATGGGTTGCTTTCTGAGTGCTAGCTGATACCTTTTCTCTCCTTGGTAGATTCATACGTTGCCTTGGGTGCCCTGCTGTAAATCACCAGCTCTTGTTTCTTGTTAGAGACTTCAAATTTGAAGAGATCCCACTTCACTTCGGTGCATCTGATACAATTATAACCTAGTCTTGTTCCAGGGTTGTAGTGGTGGGAATACAGTGCACACTTGCTCTTCCTTCCATGAATATGTATTCTCTATGGGAAAATGATTTCTGCTTGCTCTGCAAGTTAACAGATCTTCCTTCTGGCTTTGCACATGTAGTGAAGAATCAAGAAGACTTTGTTTCTGATCCTAGGGAAGGAATGAGAAGTCATGCGCCTGCAGTTTGGAACTCAAAGGCCACTGAACAGTGACAGAAACTCAGTGTAAATAAACCTCAGATGCCTATAACTGACACCTCCGTTCACCTTTCTTTAGTGGTGTATACTTAAATAGCCAGGTGGTGTTTCTTGTCTCAAGAGCGTTTGTTTCTCTGTCAACTGCATACGATAGCCATGTCTGTTATCAGAGCCTGGTAGTTTCTGTGCCAGGTATGGTGTGGGTGGTAGAGATGCCCTCAAGCAGCTGAAGTCTCACTTCTCCATCCTTTGATATCTGTCAACATGTGTTAACTGACAGCCTCCTGAAATTAAACATGGAGGGCAAGGCACAGATAAAAACTGACAAATACGATTTTTGGCAGTGAACAAATTAGGTGACATCAAAGTGCCTAGCCTATTAGCTAGTAGTGTTTTAGTTTCGTAGCAAGGTGGAATGCCTGATTGCATCATCTTGTCTCTGGAAATGTGAATTCAGAGTCAGTGAAGTTCTAGTGGAGGGTGTCCCTTCCAACCCTAACCATTCTATGATTCTGTGAACTGGCTGCTATTACTGCTGCTCCATTCTTAGGTGGTTTCTTTATATTCTGGATTGTTATGCCTTAGATCCCTCCAAGGGGGATGTGTGAGGGCATTACCGTCTTGTGTTATCTGTACTGAAAAACCTGTGAATAGTTTTTCTCCTAAGATGAGTGAACAGCTGAGGTACTTTTCAAACTGCTCTCCATGATGCTTGAAAAGTCATGGCAGTCAGGTGAAGTCCCTGGTGATTGGTGAATGGAAACATTGCACCCATTTTTAAAAAGGGTATAGAGAAAAACCCTGGGAACTCCTGACCTGTCAGCCTCACCTCTGTGCCTGGGAGGGTCATGGAACAGATCCTCCCAGAAGCTATGCTAGGGCACATGTTGGACAAGGAGGTGATTTGGGACAGCTGTTGCTTCACCAAGAGCAAGTCCTGCCTCACCAACCTAGTGATGGAACTACTACTTCTGTGGACAAGGGAAGAGCTACTGATGTTGTCTTTTTGGATTTCTGTAACGCCTTTGACATGGTCCCCCACAACATCCTTCTCTCTGCATTGGAGAGATACAGATTGGATGGATGGACTGTTTGGTGGTGAGGAATTGGTTGGATGTTCACATCAAGAGGGCGGTGGGTTCATGTCCAGGTGAAGACTGGTGACAAGTGATGTCCCTCACGGGGTGAATACAGGCTGGGGATGAAGGGATTGAGAGACCCTAGTGGAGAAGGACTTAGGGGTACTGGAGGATGGAAAGCTGGACATAAGATCATAGAATGGTTTGGGGTGGAAGGGACCTTAAAGATCATCTAGTTCCAACCCACCTGCCATGGACAGGGACACCTTCCAATATTCTTTGTTCTGATCCCCACTGGAAGGGGTACATACAAGTTTGATATATTGGTCTTTAAAGAGTCCATGTTTCTTGGGGCTTGGCATATATTATAAATCTGTATTGCAAAAGAATGGAAGAACATTATGCCAAACACTTCATGAACGTAAAAAAGAAAGATGTTTACAATCTGAATAAAAGGCAAGACTCAAGATCTGCGAAAAATCAAATAGTGCTACTCAGAGTGACTAGCCATAGTAGTGGTGTAATGACACTGTAAGCATTGTCTTGCCTTTGTTAGCAAAAAACATCTGAAGGAGAACAATGATGTCATTTTTGCAGCTTGGTTGATGGTGAAGTTTCTGTGACCAGGTTCAGCTGGTCGGGAGTTGTGCAGTTGTAGAATGGGATGTTTCCACCTGCTCGTTCTTGCTGTCACTGACATGGCCATGGCTGGGAAGTCAGTGGGATGAGTTGCTTTGTGCTCAGATGGGTTTTCTTGTAGGGTTACTTTCCACCAAAGGCCGAGATAGGATCCAACTGACCTTGCAGCTGCCTGAGGAGTAGCTGCTGTTAGAAGGGTGATGAGGAAGAAGCATGTGGATTCTCAAAGGTTGGCTTAAGCCAATTGTGAAACTTCTTCATAATTGATTCTCTCTTAGGGACTCTATTTTTAGCAAGGTAATGAGTTTTTCTTGGGTTTGTTTCAGACATTAGTATGAATGACAAGAGTGTGCCTGTTATTTCTGAGAGCAGTATGTGAGGAGCTGTGGCACACAGCATGTTGTTTGTGAGTGTTTCTGCTGTGAAGAATAAAGTCTTTCATGCATGTTCTTAGTGCCTTGTAAATCCACGCCCATCCTTGTGTAATAAAAACATGCTGCAGGTCAGGTTGCCACCCTACAACCAACTCAAAAATAGGGCTGCCTGTTCCTCTGTGGGTCTGTGTGCAGGGGCAACAGTGGAAGACACGAGAGAGCCTATGTACTGCCTTGAAATGGCTTTCTGAGGACTGGTTTTCATCTTGCTGTATAAAGTCAGTGCTTTCAGTTACAGGTGTGTGGGAAGAGTGCTTTTATTTAGTGTCTGCCTTGATCCTTGAGTGAGTGGTGGGTTGACCCTGGTTAGGGCCATGTGCCTACCAAGTTGCTCTCACTGTCTTCCTCAGCAGGATGGTGGAGAAAATAAGATGCAAAAACCTCATGAGTCAAGATAAAGGCAGCAAAAGCAAGCACAGGGTAGCAAAGGAAAACGAAATAATTTGTCTGATGTCCTCTTGCCAACACCCTTCATGTTGGTGAGGAGAATGCTGGGGGGCCAGCCTAGATGCTGTGTGAGCGCTGCTCAGCTGTGGCCAAAACACTGATGTGTTACCAACACCTTTGTAGCTGCCAATACAAAGCACGGCACTAGGATGGCTGCTGTAGGGGAAACTATCTGAGCTAGGCCCAATGCAGATGGCACTGTTGCAAGCTGTACATCTGAATTGCTTAAAAATAAAATAATATGGGAAGATAGATTTCTCTCTGTCATGTCATCCAGCCTGTTTCCTTGTTAGAACAAGGTCCTGCAGAGGACACAATAGCTGTGTCTGCTTCGTTTCTCACAGGTGAAGTGTGGTCTTTGGACTTCTGGCAACAGTTGGCCAGAGCAATCCTGGCTTAGTAATCCTGGATGTTAAGTTATTTGGCATGCTAATGGCTGACATGTGTACATTCTACTAGCAGGAAGAACTGAATTATCTGCAAAGCTTAAAATCAATAGACAAATATGCACAGCTCACTGTTTCAAGGTTGATGGGAGTTCACTGCATCCAAGAAAAGTTTTTGGGGCTGTTTTTCAGTTTCCATATAATGAATAGCTGGAAAATAAGTTCTTATTCCTGCTTCAGAGAAAGAAAGAAAGAAAAAAAAAAAGTATTGTTGAGCTATCAGGACTTTGAGAAAACTGTTAGATGCCAGGCTGCTTTAGAGTTATTTGCAGGTGTACTTATTTCAAGAGTCAGGAAAGTACTGGTTTGCTTGGAAAAAGTAGGCCAAGTAAAGGTCTTTCTTCAGGTCTCTGTCATTGTATGCTGCAGTTTTGACTGCACTTATTTAAAAGCAGTCAGATAATTTGTACTGTATTTATTGTAGTCTCTTTAAAACTGTTTAAGCCAGTATTCAAATTTTATGCATTCTTAGCTGTGTGCCTGTCTTAACATTTCTCCCTGGTTTTGCTTTAGAAGTGTCTAGCAACTGTTTGGTTTCTCTTGGCTTTTGTTTGCTGGATGTGCAGGGATGATTTCTTGGCAATCAGTGATGCAAGTGTGAGCTTCTGGCTTCCTACCCTGCCCCAGGTGATGCAAGACACTAGCATATGCAAGCAGTGCTTCCTTATTTTGTTCTAGGTTGGCAGTGGTTGTTTTTAACTGCTCACAGTGTGCTAAGTTCCTTCCCAAGCAAGGGAAGAGGTTACTGCTTAGAACTTTACAGCTGAAACTACAGAGCCAGTCACTTAACTGTGTGAAGTTTCTTGCTCTAAGAGCAGTTGCAGTTCTGGTTTCGGTAATGCTGTGCAATTGGAGGAGGAAAGTGAGAAAATGATAAAGTAGTTCAAGGACTGACAATGGGTTAGAGTGGGCTATGAGTAGGTGAAAGCACTGCAAGAAATATGTCCTGTTGCTGCTTCTGAGAACACCTTAATTTGGAAACTTGCTATAGGAAAATGAATATGAATCTCTTACAGCTGAATTTCTCCAGGTCCATGGATATCCTGAGCTGTGGATGTACTTTTTCCTAATGGGCTCTTCTGGTGCCAGTTTAACACTGCAGTTTACATCTGCAAGTGTTTATCTTGTGCACTTAACTGTTGATTTTGTGGTTGGTTTATTTTTCAGTGGTTGAAGGAGGATAGGGGATGGAATTGGATGTTTCTGCTGGAAGGAAATGCTGAGGAAGCAAAGAGGATATGCACTCACAGGGGAAGGACAAAGGAGTATGAGAGGAGAGGGAATTACTGGTCCTGTAGTGCAGGTGTTAATTTTCAGGGATGTGGTTAGGGCAGAGGGGCTGCTGTGTGCATTGTTTTTTTTACCAGCTGTTTCAGGCAGTGAACTGCATTGAAAGGCTTGGGAGAGAAGTGAGGAGTGCCTGCTTCCGACTCAGCTGCATTTCAGCTGCTGGCTGACCCTACACCTGCATGCAAAATAAAGAACTAAACACAAAATGCAGTTCCTGTAGGACCTGTAATCTGTTTGTGCAGGACTGCTGCCTACTGAGGAATATCAGTTCGGGTAGAAGGTAATGCATGCTTCAGACACAACTCACAGATAGGGATGAGGAGATTTCAGTTTTCTCTGCAGAATGAGTTTAACACATCACACAGGTTTTGATTTGACATTAATATTTTGATAGCTCAGCAGATCAAGAACAATAGTTATGCTGCTAAATTTTATTCTTTTTTTACACTTCTTAAAGAACAGGTCTGCAGTCTGTGGGAGTTCATCTGAAGAAACTTGTACGTATAACTTCTCTCTGAGAACCTCTAGATTTCTTTTCTGTCTTTCTAGAAATGTCTGACAGAACAATTTCCTTGAGGTCTGTATTTTTTAATTTGCATTGAGTTTATTTTTTTGTTTTTGTTTCTGTCTTCTCCATCTTCAGTTCACTTCTAGAAGCTTTGGTTATAGAAGGAATGAACTTGGGGGTTAGGAGGTGGATTTTAGTTATACTCCAGGGCTGTGATTCTGCATCACTTTCCTTAGTGCCAAGTCAGCTCCAGATCTTCCATTTCCTTGCTTCACTCACATTACTGCACAGGGCTTTGTCCCCTCTATGTGTTTCACTGTTCGTGCAGCTGCTCTCCAAACATCATCTGTGAAATGATCCAACACAAGAGCCTCCCAAATGAAAGTACACTTTGGCAGGCAACGTAAACCTTTGTTCTGGTTTAGACTGTAACCATATGATGTTATATGTTTTAACTGACATAACTCTGGGTATAATCCTGGCTGTTAGAAGAGTTTAAGCCTTTAACTGAGTTTTTTGCCAAGGGGGCAGTGACAGCTCCAATTTTTTTGTGGGATGGGGTATGTAGCTAGATACCTTTTTTCAAATGTTCACACTGGAGGTACTATATTTAATTACTATTCTCTCTATATCGCCAGAAAACAAACTCCAAAACCAAAACTTCATGGGAGGTGTCTTACCTGGTAGTTAGGAGACTTGTGCTAAGTCCCGTAGGGCTTACTGCTTGTTTTGAATGGGTCTCTTTCTCATTGTGGTACAGAGTAACAGAAAACCAATATTGTTTTGTCACAGTATTGAACACTTAAAAGAGTTTTAGATTCAAGGGCTTTGTTAAATGGGAAATCTCCCATGACAAATATCTCCCCTCTATCATACATTGCTGTGAAAACCAAATGGAAATAAATCCGTATGTAATTAAGTTTACTTGTTTTAAGAAGAAATTTATGTGTTTTTCAGCGATACTTGCAGCATTCGTGGATTCCAACTTTAAAAGAATATAACTTCAAAAGAGGAACAGTATTTGACCATCTATTTTTCTTACTTGTTCAGTGATAACTTACATCTCCTGATTTTGTTTTTTTTTGTTTATTTTCCCAGTTATTTGTAGTAGATGTCCAGACTGGTCAAATTACCAAGATTCCTATTCTGAAAGATCGTGAACCTGGCATGGTGAACCAGCAGGGATGTGGTATTCATGCCATTGAGCTCAACCCCTCCAGGACCCTTCTGGCCACCGGTGGAGACAACCCCAACAGTCTCGCAGTTTATCGTCTGCCTACACTCGATCCTGTCTGTGTGGGAGATGTAAGTTTATTCTATTACCTACAAGAAGATCTACTTTGAAGTGCTGAATTTCAGAGCACTGAAAGCTTGAAAACATTCCTGAGTAAGGTGTCTTAAATATGAGTACGCACATGTTCCAGGGATTGAAGGATTCCGGGTGGAGAAGGAACTTAAGCTGCACATATACACCCCAAAACTGCTGGAAAGTTTATTACAAACTCTAAAACAGATGTAGAACCCAGAGACTAATCCCAAACCAGAAAGAGAGAGAGAGCTAAAGGATCCAAAAGAACAGATTAAGCACAGTTCTTACAAACCTAAACATTTGTTCAATGACCAGGGGGCCAGCTCCGAGGTGCATTGAGAGCAAACGGGGTAGCAGGCACTACTTGGCAGGTGTCCCCACAGAGGTAATGTCAGCCATAAAGCTAGTTGGATCCGTCTCCCCCGTCCTCTTCTCTCCTCCCTCCTTTCTTCTTTACTCTCTTTCTCAAACCCTGGGCCTTTTCTATCCCCGAAAGTGCCAACTGATCCCGATGCAGGGATCAGCCCTGCATCCGGAGGAGTGGCCCTGCTGGCTTCCTTTTCCCGTGTACATTCGTCCTGACGCAGGGGGTCAGCCTGTACCAGGAGGAGTGGCCCTGCTGGCTTCCTTTTCCCGTGTACATTCGTCCTGACGCAGGGGGTCAGCCTGTACCAGGAGGAGTGGCCCTGCTGGCTTCCTTTTCCCGTGTACATTCGTCCTGACGCAGGGGGTCAGCCTGTACCAGGAGGAGTGGCCCTGCTGGCTTCCTTTTCCCGTGTACATTCGTCCTGACGCAGGGGGTCAGCCTGTACCAGGAGGAGTGGCCCTGCTGGCTTCCTTTTCCCGTGTACATTCGTCCTGACGCAGGGGGTCAGCCTGTACCAGGAGGAGTGGCCCTGCTGGCTTCCTTTTCCCGTGTACATTCGTCCTGACGCAGGGGGTCAGCCTGTACCAGGAGGAGTGGCCCTGCTGGCTTCCTTTTCCCGTGTACATTCGTCCTGACGCAGGGGGTCAGCCTGTACCAGGAGGAGTGGCCCTGCTGGCTTCCTTTTCCCGTGTACATTCGTCCTGACGCAGGGGGTCAGCCTGTACCAGGAGGAGTGGCCCTGCTGGCTTCCTTTTCCCGTGTACATTCGTCCTGACGCAGGGGGTCAGCCTGTACCAGGAGGAGTGGCCCTGCTGGCTCCCCACTGTGCACACCCACTCCAGGCGATAGGGGATGGTCCACCACGGACCAATTTTTACCGTGTTAGACCCATCCAACACAGCACACAAGCATGTGAGATGATTCTTAGGGTTCTAAGTGAGATTTCTTCTTCCTCACACAGATTCAGGTGTACTTCAGTTTAATTTTAAGCATTGAAAATGTGACAGAATCCTAAATGTTAAAGTCTAATTGTGGTGATGACCTCTGAAACTAGTTCTAGTGAAAAAGCCCTTTTGGGAAATTGAAGAGATGATACAAGTTCTTCAAATTTTCCTCTTCTTCAATGCAGCTTATTGTTTTGCTGACAGGCAGGGTACTCAACAAAACGACCATGCACTAGCTGTGTAACATACACAGTTTATTAAACAAGCACACTAATGTGGATTGGGTATATATCTGTCATATAAATAAGTACGATAAAGCAAATCATATATATATATATATATATATAAGTAAAGTACAGAGGAAAATTAGCAATGCATCAGTTCATTACTGGATAGAGAGAATAGTGTTTAAGAAGGAATACATCACGAAATACTACTGAATCATCATCCAGGCTACACTTACATCTGGGAAGCCCCGTTGCAGCCGATGCCAGGAGTCTCAGGTAACTGGGAAAATTCCTACACCCATAGGTGAGGCTTCAGATACAGCTGCAAGAGGCATCTGCTTTTTCATCCTTTGTTTTTCAAAACAAGTAGCTTTATGCCAGATCTCTTAATTGTTTATTCATGGGGGCATGCAACCTCTCATTATCTCCCTGTTGTCCATGCTGGGAGCATTGGCCACGTGCCCCAGTGCAGCAGAGCATGAAGGTCATAGAATAGCTGCACACCTGTTTTCCTGCTTCCTTCCAACAAACAGTCATGATGAACATAACCAGATATACTCCACCAAATACACTTTGACAAAAATATACTTTATTATGTCTCTCAGTCATGTGAGGGAATCAACTCTCAGCTAGGTTGCCATCCATTTCACTTAAGTATGTATTATTGCAGAGGTAGAACTTGGCTTTGAGGATTAGTTCTAACCCAGTAACTTATGGTAGTTTGATACTCTGGGACTGCTAATATTTCTGAAACGTTGTTAGTGATTTTTAAATAGCCAGTCTTAAAAAAGACTGAAATTAATATGATGGTATTGCTGAGTGCTTCTCTCTCATTTCTTCTCTTTAGGCTGGACCTCATGTAGATGTTAACAGCAGAGGTCAGAGTTTCTGCAGTAGCAGATCATCAGCTGCAGAAAGACTCAAGCCTGAAGATCTATATGTCTTAGTATTAATTTCTGTGCTGCTGTGATTTTGCAGCTTTTCAAGTGGAACTAAAGTCTTATGGTCTTCCCCCATTCCCTCCAGGTTTCTCTAAATAAAAGATGATTGAAATAATACTCTTGCAAAATTAATCTGTAGGTCGTATACTGTGAATGTAAGGTTTAGTTACTTTTTATAGTAGGGATGTAGCTACTGTGTAGAAGTAAAGGAGGTATAAAAGGAAGTGCTTTCAAAATGGAAAATACTAAGTCCTTCGAACTGATATCAATTTGTCATTTGGTCAGAGACATGTTTTCCTGTAACCTAATGCTCGCTATCAATAATACACTTCAAAATCAAACCAAGTTAAGATTACTGTTGAGTACTTCAATTGCTCCAGCCTGATACTGGGATCTTATCTTTATGTTTTTAATGTAGGACGGTCCTTCTGAGTTTGTACTAAAATTCAAAGTGGAGAATACCTGTCTGCTTTGAAACTACTCTAGAGTATAATGACACAGAAAAATCTGTCTTTTTTTCCTTTTAGGATGGACATAAGGACTGGATATTTTCAATTGCATGGATCAGCGATACTATGGCCGTTTCTGGTAAAGTCAATTTTTTCCTTCTTTTTTCCACTCCAGGATTTTATACTGGTGCACAGCACTTGATAGGTCTTAGGGAAGCATCTTTGTCACTGCACTTGAAACTACTTAGAACTACCATGGCTGTTTAAACCTTCCTTGGTCTTAGTACAGTGCTTCACTTTGTTCCATTTGTAGAGCCTGGTCTAGATTTGATTTTTCTAGTATCAGAGGGAATATTCCTGTCTTTCCTCTCATGGCAAGACCTGCTGAATCTCTAAACACAATGAGTTACAGGGAAGGATCCTGCACAAGAAGGATAGTCTCAAGAGGGGGGTTGGTTATCTGCTAATAACTTTGGAATACAGCAGAGCAGTGTCGGTTTCCTGAAATTCTATGAAAGATTAATTAATGAAAACTCAAATTTGTTTCAAGCTATTGGTACAGCTCTGTGTGTGTGTGTGTATGTATATGTGTGTGTGTGAATGTGTATGTATATGCATGTATACAATGACTGTTAACACAGAAGGCTGTAGTAGAAAAGGTCAGTTACTTACTTTTTAGTAACTATTTTGATAATTAGTGTAACTTCAAGTAATAACAAAGAATTACTTAGGTAAGGGCAGCAATGCTAATATATTATTGCATAAATTTAGTAGCTTACTGTCTTTCTGTGCTGACAGGGTATAGTATTCTGCACGAGGAGGTGTCAAACTGCAGATTAACACAAAATCATAACAGCCTTTCATAAAAATAAAATACTTCAATTGTTAGTTCAGTAAGATTCCTCCCCACCCACCCCTTCCCCCCAAAAAAAGAAAAAAACCCAAAAATTTAATCCTGAAATTTTATTCTGAATTTAATATAAATTGATCCTTGGAAGTCTCCAACCCATATAGCTGCATTAGAAATACACTGCCAGCTAATAAGCTTGAAGAGAACATCAGAGGTTATTACAGATATCCAAGGGAAACTTAAGGATCTGATGGAATAGAAGCACAGGATGTGAGATTGAACTGTGTTGCTCTCAGTGTTTTCTACATGCTCAGGGGTGGAGGTGTGAGTAGAAGACTGCCTTGTTCCCTTTTGTAGGGTGCTTACAGCAGGATGTAGGCTCTTGACTCCAGACCTGAGACACCACGGAAAACTTGTTGAAAGCAATTAGTGTGTCTGATTGCTAAACTGAGCTCTTCAGAACTTTGATGCTCTTAATCAGGAGGAAAGAAACAACTGACTTCTGACATCGTTTTAGTCTTACAGATTTCAATTACATCTGTATCTGAAAGCGTGGAACAGAAATACTTGAACTCCAAATACTGAGGAAATAGCAAATACCATTATGTGAATTAAGAAACTAAATGCAATTTTTTTGTGGCTTTCTTGGGGCAGTTTAAATGCCACAGGAAGACAAAAGAGCATTTGGTCCTATGGCAAGCCAGACCAATCATACAGCCTGAGGTTGAGAGATTTGGCAGCGTACTTTCTCACTGCCCTTAGAACTGTTGAATGTGTACGAATAGGACACGGGGCTTGATTATTCCTCTTGCTTGTGTTAACTTCAACAAGAATGAGGCAGGGCTCTGCTTATAGAAGCTTCAGCACTGCATTTCAGTAGCCTAGAACCATAAAATGAAACTTTTGACTAAGCAGCCGTATTAGGGAGAATGCATCAGTCCACTCAGTTGTACTGGCTGGACAATAAAAGTTTCCATAGCAAAAGCTTTAGATGGGGTGAATAATTCCCAGGATGGCAAGAGGCTAGGATAACATGATATTCTCCTTGGCTTCAGAGCTAACCAGTTGAACTACATACACTGACTTTTTCCTGTACTAAGGCTATTAAGGGGACAGCTTCCTCCTAAAGTATGTGAAAATGTTTAGAAATTCTACTGCTGAGTATTCAGCCTCCATAACAAACAAGATTAGGTGCCATTAAAAACCATCAGCATGTAAATTGAGTGGCAGGATGTTGTGTCATGTGCTGTCTGCTGCTATGCAAGTGCCATTAGGAACCTCCTTTTTTATTTGCCTGTAGTAGGTGACAGTGGCAAATGACCTCCGGCTGTGTGGGGGCAAAGCCATCTCTGCTGTGCTTGGCTACCTGAATTGCAACAAGATGTTTTGCTTAACTGTTTTTACATCTTATTCCCCATGCTGTACTAAAGCCTGTAAATTTAATAGTCTAATCATAGAATGGTTTGTGTTGGAAAGGACCTTAAGATCATCTAGTTCCAACCCTCCTGCCATGAGCAGGGACACCACACACTAAACTATGTCACCCAAGACTACATCCAACCTGGCCATGAACACTGCCAGGGATGGAGCATTTATCACTTCTTTGGGCAACCCATTCCAGTGCCTCACCACCCTCACTGTAAAGAACTTCTTCCTCGTATTTAATCTAAACTCCGCCTGTTTAAGTTTGAACCCGTTGCCCCTTGTCCTATTGCTACAGTCCCTAATGAAGAGTCCCTTCCCAGCATCCTTATAGGCCCCCTTCAGACACTGGAAGCTGTTCTGAGGTCTCCACGCAGCTTCTCTTTTTCCATCCCCTGAGGGACACCATTTGTTACTGGTCTCCAGCTGGACGTTGAGCTGTTGACTGCAGCTCTCTGTGTGTGGTCATCCAGCCAGTTCCTTATCCACCAGTTGGTTGATCCATCAAATCCATGTCTTCTTGCTTGTTCAACCTCAGTTCTTATGTTACATGCTTTAAAAAGGAAATTGTGCAGGGTTTAGCAAAATAATTTTTAAAATAGGTTTTCCACAAGTTGCACAAATGATGGTTTAAGATAGCTCTTTTTGTTCGGTTCTCGTATTTATGTGTACGTATCCATAAGCTCACTGGTAGAAATGAACCCAAACTGACAAAAACACAACTGAGTTTTCTTGGGGGCTTTTCATATTGGCATAACAGGCTGTTAGTCTCAGCCTTGGTAAGCCAGGCTGAATGTGTAGGCTGTTCAGTTGCCACAGAGTTTGTTCTATGTGTGAATCTGTAATGGTGATTGTTGTACACGATTGTGGGTTTTGATGCATTACAATCAGTTTGAAAACGGAAGAGGTGATCTAGCTGCTTGGAGGCCAGGTAGACAACCCATCTACCAGTCAGTTCACAATGTTAGGATCTTTACAGCTCAGTAAAATCAGACCCTATTGTTTATTCCTTTTTTAAAAGGGAGGTTATGTATGTGTGAGATGGACTGTTTATTTATGGACCATTTATTCATGGATTCAGGTTCCCGGGATGGTTCTATGGGTCTCTGGGAAGTCACAGAGGATGTGTTGTCCAAGAGCGATGCCAGACATAATCTCTCTCAAGTTCCTGTCTATGCCCACATAACACACACGGCTCTGAAGGATATCCCAAAGGAGAACACCAATCCCGACAACTGCAAAGTCCGAGCATTGGCTTTCAACAATAAGAACAAGGTGAGTAAGATAAGCAAGTCAGTTGAGGAATCCTAAACCTGCCTGTATATATTAGAAAAAGAAAAAAGTTATTAAAAAAAAATATTGGAGAAGCAACCTAATGTCTTTTTCCCTGATCCTTCTGCATCCTTATCACATCACCTTCATCTGCTATGTCTGTTCTGCTCCAAGTGAATTGGCAAGTTCAGTAGGGGGAAAAATAAATGATATTTTTTCAGACGGAACAATTTTCCTGTGGGTTTAATTTTGTTGCATCCTAAGATGGAGAGACTGGGAGTTTTTACAAGAAGTAGATGAAGCACCAAAATATCTCTTGCAGCTTGAATCCTGCTCTTGGGTGTTCTTACTGCTTTCCTTCTCCATTCGTGAAGACCAGCTAATATTCAGGCAGTTCCTGTTTTGGTGGCTGAATCCTTCCTGGACTGCTCAGTGAGTGAGGTGGCTACACACAGGGCAGGTACAAGTGCCTGCTTCAGTGTTACTCTGTTGGCGTTTGACAAACAGTATATATTAACCTCCCCCATGCTGATCCCTTATTACTAGTGGAAGTAGCAATTCATCCTCCACTTCTTTTCTTTCTGCCCTCAAAGAACAGCAAAAGTATGAAGCAAAGGTGGCTGTGCTGTCAGAAGCACAGTGCTCCTGCAGGCTTTATTTTTCACTATAGCTGTTTATTACTCCTGTGTAATAGAGACTTCATATAGCTTTCTCAGTAGAGTAATACCTGGAAAGAAATGTTTGCTTCAGGGTCAGAATCAGCGTGGGAGCCACTGAAAAGAATTCTCAATTGTAATTTGTGCTGTCTAATAATTTGTTATTTGATTGTCTGACAAGACCTATATTTTTGAAAGCTATTTTTTGTTACTCATTCTACGTGGCACCTTTGTACTGTATTGCATTCTGTCAAGGTAAGTATAATGTGAAAATGTGTCTTGATAAGCACATACAGGTTTATGGACAAGTTCAATTGGAGTATTCAGCCTGCCTAGTGGAGAGTGTCAGTTTGTAAGGACATCTATAATAAGGAAACTAATTCTCTTTTTTTATTATAGGAGCTGGGAGCTGTGTCCCTGGATGGGTATTTTCATCTTTGGAAAGCAGAGCACACACTAGCAAAGGTGCTTTTCTGTTTGTTGGTGTTACTGCCTAGCAGTTAAGGCTGTTCACTGTTCATCTCCTTTAAATGCTTGAAGAAAGAGCAACAGCATTTGTAAAACAGTGAGAAGCTTTATGTAAAATGAAATGTCCTAAAAATTAGAACTTGAGGAGAGAAACTCACAGCTCTGATTACTTTAGAGGGTGGGCAGTGCTCTTAACTTCCTGCCAGTTATGGTTGAGCTGAAGTGAACATTTGCATGGAGTGTGGTGGATACTTGGCAGCAGAGTTCTTAAGGAAAGTTGCACTGACTTAAGTTGCAGATCAAACCCAGACATACCTATGCTGGTGTGTTAGGTAAGCTTTTCCAGCTGAGAGCTGATGTCTCTGTACAGCTGCTGAAGAAATAGCAGCTTAGATGTAAAACAATTTACCAAAATGTCTATTGTTCTTTACATTCTACTTGGCTTCAGCCTTTATAATCTCAGGGTAAGGGTAAGGCATCCCATCTCCTTCATTTTTTTTTTTTTTTCTCTGGGTCAGGTTGTTGGTTTTCTTTTAAAGTTCTGTTTTTGTGGTGAACTTACTTTTTAGCTGCATTTTGGTGGTTTTTTTTTTTTTTCACTGCAACTTCCTTGAACATAGCTTACAGAATTGTTCTATTAACATCTTGCTCCTTTCTTATAACAGGCTGATTTTTGTTTCTTCTCTTTCCAGTTACTTTCCACAAAGTTGCCATACTGCAGGGAGAATGTGTGTTTGGCTTATGGTCAGGAGTGGTCAGTGTATGCAGTAGGATCACAGGCACATGTCTCCTTTCTGGATCCCAGGCAGCCTTCTCACAACGTTAAATCCGTCTGTTCCAAAGAACGAGGCAGTGGTAAGAAACTTGTCAAACGGTGCTTCAAATGGTTTTCTTGCAGAAGTAGCTATTAAGACTGCAGTAAGATATGCTTTTAGTTAACAGGAAGGGATTTTCATGCAGTAGACTGAATTATGAATAGTGTATGTAGGTTTTGCTTTTGACAATATTCCTTGAACAACCAACAAACCAAATGTGAAAGCAACTCTGAAATCTAATGATAGAAAACATCAGTGATTTTATGATCAATTGAATCATACACCTCCAAATATTACTGAACTTTTAGAAGTGTTAATTCTGATGCTACTTGATTTTACTGTGTCTTACTCTGTTTTACTTCACCTCCAAAGCAAATCCAGTCTTTGTACCACTGTTGATACTGTCTATTCTTGCATTTTGCTCTGGGTATGGGGGAAGAAAGCGTGTTGTCTGCTCTGTGCTGTCATACTGGGCTTCTGTGTTGTGAGTGAATGCTTATTTTGTAATTTTAAAGCCATAAGTGAGACTCTTAAAAGCTTGCAGATTTGGGTGCTGTTTTCTCTTTCTGATGTGGATATAGTATGTCCAGTTAAACTTTAGACTAGGGCCAAGTATGAGGCCTCACAGGGTGTGTGGTACCATAAGCTTCTTCCCATACCCTTTATCTTCAAGCATGAGAAGGCACTGTGCTGTAATGCCCATTTTAAACCACATTAATCCCAGACTGATAAACTGCAGTCCTTGTGTAGCTTGGCTCTAGGCATCCATATCTTGGCCGGACAAGTTGTCAAACAAAAATGCATGTTGGCAAAGATTAGGTAAGTTTTATTTATGTGGTTACTGGAGTTTGAATGGTGCTGTCTAGATAAACACCAGCGTCTGCTTCCTTCAGATACAGCAAAGTATATATAATATGAGGAGAGGTGCTTCACCAGCTCTTGTTGTCACCTGGATATTTTAGCAGCAAGAGCCCTTGTCCTGACCTGCTGTTAGTGAGGGCTCTATGAAGGTCCCGATGCTGTCACCCTTGAGTGTCATCAGGAAGAAACAGCGAGACACTGGAGTGTGGTGCCCAGTGCTGGCCGGTGGCTGAAAGCTGCTGCCTTGAGTGTGTGATCAGTTCTGCTAGGGGCATGATCCCAGTAGTATTGCAGTTCATGTCTGGAGAAAGCCTTTGCTCAACACTCTTTTCTGTTCTGCGTAGTAGGCAGATCTTTATTTTTTGTCATGGTGGTGGAGGCAGTTTACTAATATTAATTCCCAAGATACCAAGTGTTTCAACTTTTTATTGATCTCACTGGGACTTGGAGCAGTGCAGCATCTCTAGAAAGTAGAATCATAGAATGGACTTCAAGATCATCTAGTTCCAACCCTCCTGCCATGAGCCGGACTGCCTCACACTAGATCATGGTGCCCAAGGCTCTGTCCAACCTGGCCATGAACACTGCCAGGAATGGGGCATTTGCCACTTCTCTGGTCAGCCTCACAGTAAAGAGCTGCTCACCACCCTCGCAGTAAAGAACTTCTTCCTTATATCTAATCTAAACTTCCCCTGTTTTAGTTTGAATCCATTACCCCTTGTCCTATCACTACAGTCCCTAATGAAGAGTCCCTCCCCAGCATCCTTACAGGCCCCCCTCAGACACTGGAAGCTGCTCTGAGATCTCCACACAACTTCTCTTCTCCAGGCTGAACAGCCCCAAGTTTCTCAGCCTGTCTTCATACGAGAGGTGCTCCAGCCCTCTTATCATCCTCGTGGCCCTCCTCTGGACTTGCTCCAACAGCTCCATGTCCTTTTGATGTTGAGGACACCAGAACTGGACACAATACTCCACGTGAGGTCTCACAAGAGCAGAGCAGAGGGGCAGGATCACCTCTTTCGACCTGCTGGTCACGCTTCTTTTGATGCAGCCCAGGATATGGTTGGCTTTCTGGGCTCAAGCACACACTGAAGCCAGCTCATGTTCAGTTTCTCATCAACCGCCACCCCCAAGTCCTTCTCTGCAGGGCTGCTCTGAAAAGTAGGTTCTTTATTGCTTGCAGGCTAAAATAGTGTTTTGAAGCATTACCTAAATGTGCTTTCTGCTTCCGAATGCACCTGCCGAATGTGGTAAATCCACGTTAACTTCAGATCACCAGTGTTGTATACAAAAACAGGTCAGTGAAGGGTTATTGCTTAGTGAGACTGGAACTGGGGCCAGTTAATAGGGAGTGTAACCAGTTACATTGTATATACAGTGTACAGGTACCCTGTACCTCTTACATGAGGGCAGCTCGTGTAAGGGAGGGCAGCTAATGCTTTTTACTGCACCTTGTAAGTGTTGCTCTTCTTAGCAGCTGTATAGAGAAGTGCAGGGCCTGGACTCTGGTTCATGATCTCCGAGAGCAATTGCTTTCTTCTCCCCTGGCATGCAGCACAATGTCATGTGCCCTTGACTTTATATCCTGAACGCAGCAATGTTAATGCAGTGGGCAGAGCTTGTGTGACGCAGGCTCTGTGTCTGCTCCTTGCATAGGTCACGTTACTGTGTCTTCATTTCCTTCCAGGATGTGTAGAGCCTCCCTGCCTCTCAGGAGTAGTGAGACTCGATTTGCTGACCCAAATAGTTCAGGTCTACAGGTGGTACAGTGCTGATTGTGTTGGGGAGCTTACTATGATCACTGCTAGGCACAGGTTGTGCTTTTAGGTTGATGGGAATAATTATTCTGAGGTACTTCAGCACTTCAGGAGCCAGTTTGAAGTGCTGCTCTCGAAAGCCTGTTCTAAACATCCTCTTAGTAGTGGGTACATGATGGATTCCTTCAGTTAATTATTTTGATTAGAAAAAGAGCCACAGTTCTTCATTTTACAGCTTTTTTTTTATTATTAATAAACTGCATTGAAAAGTATACGCCACCTGCCTTCCTATTCCATCACCTGTTTCTGTTAAGTAACTGTTCTGCTGGGTTGCTTGTCAAGAGCACTTCTGAAGCAAAACCAAGAAAAGCTCCCCTCTTGTGCCTTCCTCTGCTTATCCAAGTGACTGCTCTTACTGATTGCAGAGGGCTTAAAGCTTTCTGCATGTATTTGCAAGAGCCAGGCCCTTTCAGTGGGGATGAGGGAAGATGTCTCAACTTGCTCAGGTGCATTTGTAGTTTTCTGAATTAAAGTGTAGATTCTCTTAAGAATCTGGAAAATCTCCTTCAGCAGGTGTGAGACTTGCTCAGTGGTTTCCCACTTATTTAGCCTGCAGCCAAAACTTTATCTCACATCTGGAGCTCAACAATGTGGCCGCGCCTGTTCTAAGTGTGTGTCATAGGTGCTGCTGGCCGTGGGTGTAATGTCAGGTTATGGAGGCGGAAGGATGAGGATGTGCTTCTAGTTAGGACTCTGTACAGACGGGAAGGGGAAACTCCCTGGGTGCATCTACACCTCTCAGGTGTCTGCTGTCACATGTACTGCTCAGTATATTCCAGTATGTTCCAAGTTCCATGCTGTTCAATCCCACTTGGTGTGGTGACAACAGCTGGCATAGGAGACATAACTCACTCTTTACCCCTTGTGTTTGAATGCTTGTTTAGGCTGTAATTCAGTGGTACTTTAAAAAGGGCTTAAAAAGCCCCAGGGTTTATAACCTGGAATCACCTTGTGCAGGAAAGAAAAACACAGATGTGGTGGGGTTTAATATGCATAGAAGAATTGTTTGAGATAAAATGCTTACACAGAACAAGCCTTTTGCACAATAAATAGAGGTAAGATGACAGGACATCTCACAAATTGCAGATTTGTACACACAGTATATCATAGAATCACAGAATAATTCGGGTTGGAAAGGACCTTAAGATTATCCAGTTCCAGCCACCCTGCCATTGGCAGGGACACCTCACACTAGACCATGCCGCCCAAGGCTCTGTCCCACCTGGCACTGAACATTGCCAGGGATGGAGCATTTATGACTTCCTTGGGCAACCCATTCCAGTTCCTCACCACCCTCACAGTAAAGAACTTCTTCCTTATATCTAATCTAAACTTCCCCTGTTTAAGTTTGAACCCATTACCCCTTATCCTACCACTACAGTCCCCAAGACTGTTTCTGAGGGATCCTTGTTTAGCTGAGACACCAGGTTTAGATATTGTGAAAACAAAATCTATGCTTTTACTCCATCTAATGGCATAACTCAGATGTAGCAGAAAGTTTAGTCTGTATTGGGAACTTGGTGTAGGTTCCCAGTTACTGGTGGAACATGGTGTTGCTTAGGTTGCAGGATTCCTAGTCTTTTCATTACTGGCTGAAGCGCTAAAAGTGCCAGCCACAAAGAATGAGGTGTCCTTGTGTCTCAATATTTGAGTAGGGATAGCTTCAAAATTATTTAAAAGCCTGATGTATCTCTTAGTAGCAAAGTGAGTAGTGATTGTTATGGTTGCATTTGCTTATAGTTCGCCTGCTGATTAGCAAAATGCACTTGGTGGCAGCTGGGACAGTAATTTTTATCTCCTGTGGTTGCTTATCACAGCCTGGCAGGTAGGTAAATAGGGTGTGAGCTCATGGAGGAAACAAGTGTGATGTTCTTTCATCTGCTGCCACATACTTGCTGCTTGTGTGCTCACTTGGAAGCTTGTGGCATATAGAACAAAACTAATTTTAATTCTAAATGGCTTATGATCTTTGCTTGTCTGTCAGAGCTGCAGCCTGCTGAGAATGGAGCTTCTTAATTGTACACCATGAGTGTAGCTGATGACCTCAGAGGAGAAGGGAAGCAGTATAGGTAATTGAAGCTGCTGTTTCAGCAGCATCCGTGGCCTTAGTCTGCACTGGTTCATAGCAGTGGGGAAACTTGCGTGTTGTGGAGAATACTAGTAGGTAGTTCCTCTTAAAGAAGATATTGGACATCAAGCAGCAGCACTGCAAAGCCAAGGTATCTGTTTTCCTTACTGCATTGTATGTCCCTTCTCTATTTGACAGGTATTAGATCGGTCAGCTTCTATGAGCACATCATCACAGTGGGAACAGGGCAAGGTTCCCTCTTGTTCTACGATATCAGAGCCCAGAGGTTCCTGGATGAAAAGCCCCCACGTGGCTGCTATGGGCAGAAGGAGAAATTAGGAGGAGGTGAAATTTTGAAGTTGACTACTGGGAAAGGCTGGCTGGTGAGTAGCTGGAGGCTGTAGGAGGCCCTTTACACAGGAGTGAGAGTTCATGCCGTAGTGCTCAAGAACTGGTTCTTTTTGTGCTAATGGGAGCTATTGTATGAAATGCATCTCAGCCACAGTGATCATGTACCTGATAAGTGTAATCATGAAAAGCAAGAAGTCCTGCAGAATCGCTTTGTACAAAAGCCTTCTGAAAGGTATGGAAGGTTGGTTGCTTGCGTGTAAGGCATACTCACTGCTGTTCTTATGCACTGATTTATAAATTAACTATTTTGTATCAGGATATTTATGAATGTAATCTAACTTCCAGTTTTCACAACCTCAAACACAAAATGCATTCTCTTCCTTTAAAACTGTGCTACTCTAATGTGGTACTTAGATTTAATTCATGTACAGTTTTAGAAACTGGCTTCCTGAGGTAATGCTATGTCAGGCACTTGAGTTCAATTTCCTGTATGTTATCATAAAGCAGTTAATGGCTTTGTCTAACTTCTCTCCATTATATTTTGTATCATTGTGATGTCACTTTAAAAACTAATGAAACTTGGTATCTTTCTTACCCTTCACCTTTGCCTCTCCAATGTCTGTCCCAAGCATCCTCAGAAAAAGTTTCAGGACAACTCTGGTATCTTCACTTTGATCTGTCTCTGGGAGCCACCTTCTTCTTTTTGTGAAACAAGGTTTTGGGTTTATTTGACAAAAATAACAATCTATAAACTTTCCTTTAACAGAATCATGATGAAACCTGGAGGAATTATTTTTCTGACATAAATTTCTTCCCAAATGCTGTTTACACCCACTGCTATGACTCGTCTGGAACAAAACTCTTCGTGGCAGGAGGCCCTCTTCCATCAGGACTTCATGGGAATTACGCTGGTCTCTGGAGCTAATGATAACTCTTTATAAATGCTGATCTTTACACAGATTTCCTCTTTTCTTTTCCTTTTTTTAACAACAAAAATGTGTGATGCCATTGATTTCTGATTTAAATGTAAGTTATTTTTTGGCAGAGATTTCTGTTGGTCTCCAACAGTTTTGTACATCTTTTTGAACCAGTTTTTTGCTTTAACCTCCTTGATCCTTTATATGAAGAGTTTTTGAAATCCCTTTTTATTGTATTTGCTCCAAATGACTCTTCCCCCACGTTTAGGCTATCTTGCCTGTGTGCCCTCTCCCCTACTTTGCTGTGAGGTAGGATTCCTTTCTTATAGAGTGGTTGCTCCTGGGCTTTCTGTGAAAGTCTAGGGGCTGCGTGTGTGCAGGTACTTTGTGTCAGTTACATTACCTGGAGTGAGGACTACTTGTAATTAAAAATATTAAAAATATTTATAAGAGAGAAGCTACTATATCTGCAGAGCCTGGCCCTGGCCTGGGTTGATCTTATTTTTTAAAAGTACAAGTCTAATGACACTGTTTATACATAGAGGAATGCGATGAATTTAAGCTGAACTCAATTGGAGCCCAGGGACGTATTCCACAGGGTTACTGCCCATCAAGCCCAAACTGCAGAAGTGAAGGAGTTGTCAAACATGCATTTGTATTTGAATTGTAGTTTCAGCAGTGCCAGGAGCAAAAATTGATCTTAGGTTCCTTCTCTGCCTGTCCCAGGTATCAGCTTGCACAACTTGGGTTTGTTCTGCAGGGTGATGTTACACTGAGGGCCTGCAGAGGTGCTGAGAGTAAAATGGGGGCTAGGGAGTGCTCTTGTCATTCAAAATGAACTAAATCTATCCATTTTCTGGATGAGCCAAGGTTCCTGAGTATGCTGCTGCAGTAACTCATGGGTTCTTCATAAACTGGTTTAAAAACAGGTTGGGTTTTTTCCCAGGCTGTGGAAACTTTTCCCATTTTAGCTCTTCTGGATGGCCATCTCCTCTGATAAGCGAATAAAATGGGTTTTTCTTCCGAAGTTAGAGTACCTCTTGAACTTCCCTAACACAAGCTAGAAGCTCTCCATGGAACAAGATAACTTGCTGTTAGCTCGGACAGCACTAGCATCTGCTGTCTCCTGCTTAGTATAGGAGAGGCTTAATCTTTCCCCGAGTCCCCTGCTGCTTTCTGCATTCAGACTCCCTCAAAGTCCATGTGGGACCGGGTAGGGAGAATAGGTCTGATGTCCTTTGGGTCCAGCTGTGAAGCATGTGCATTACAAGGTGATGGTCTTGTCTAATGCTCAGCTAAAACGCAGGACCGGGATGTTCCTCCTAGTTGGGTTCCTCCACCAAACTCTCAGCTTGTTACTGAGCCTCCGTTCTCTGCTGGGATGAAGGCCTTTCTGCTGCCACTGCCAGCAGTGGAGCAGAATGTGCCTGTGCTGCCCTGCTTTTGTGTCAAATGGGCAGTTGGTTGAAGCTGAGAGGACAGGCACAGCTGGGACAATGCTCTGTTCCCCTCTCTCTGCGGGACGTCACAGCCACCACTGCAGGGCAGCTCTAGGCCCTTGTGCAGTTCCTGCCAGACTACCTGGAGCTAGCATGCATGCATACCTTGCCATCCCTCTTGTCTTTGTATTATCATCAGTAACCCAAGCAGTGAGCATCAGGCTTAATTTCCATTTGGTAGTGGAGACTTACATGGAAATCTTGCATGGAATGCAGTTCCCTCCCATCTGGGTGGAAATCCTGGCAAGAAAAGAGCTCTCCCTGATGTGCATTTGTCCCAGAAGTATCGTTTACTCCACACTGACACAAGTGCTTCACAAACAGATCTTCCTGCTGTGTTTTATAATTCTACTTCCCTTGTGGGTTGGTTGCTTAAACAATCAGTTTATGGTGCTCCGTGTATGGCTTTTCAGGCTTTTCTCTGAAAAGGGGCAAATTATATACCACAGGGTAACAAAGGAGCTCTCAAATTTTATTTAGAGTTTATTGATTTTTAGAGATGTTGCCATGCTGCCTGTGTTGTTCTGTGATGGCAGTGTACTGCTTTGGTTGTTTTGGAGGTTTTGGGAAGTGGAAGTATACAGAGAAAACCAAATCTTGGTGAAGTCTGGCAGGATGTGTATTTCTAGGATTGCTCCTCCAGCTGCTGTGTAGAATCAGTATGTCACAGGAAACATGGTCTGCCTTTTTTTTTTTTGTGATGGGGGGCTTGGTTCGGGGTGCTGCTTTTTATAATGGGAACTACACACTTGAATTTACTTGTGTCTTCCAGTTCCTCTGAGACAACAGTTACTAGTCGAGTGCTTAGTGTCACTAGTACTGTTTCTGCACTGTTCTGAAAATCCTAGCCCTGATGTCAATCTATTAATTAAAGTATATTTCAGGTCCGGGTGAGGGGGCAAAAAGGGCATTTGTATGGATTGAGGCTTCCAGCCTCCAAACACATAGACTAATTTTCCTGCAGAGACAGCAGAGTCTCTAGTTGGAGAAGAGGCACTCCTGGAAAGGGTCCCTCTGTGCTGACTCTGATCTTCCCTAGTTCCCCAGTGTGTGGTCCTAAAGCCTGGGGTGTGTGTGCCCTTTTTCTCCTTTTGTTTTTGATTTTGAGTTGTGGGTTGTTTCTTTTCTTTTGGGAAACTTTGGACAAATCTCAGCAGAATCTGGACAATGATGTAAAATTTCTCAAGTTTGACATGCTTCTCTATATTCTGCTTTCAGGGTGCTTTCTTGCAAAAGTAATTTCTTATGGGGAGGGAGCAATCCCTGCTGCTGTATGAAAATTCCCTCCCCCCAAAAAACTGGAAACAAACTAGACAGTGCTGCAAGGATCCAAACAAATTGGGCAGGGGACACTTAATTTCTAGTCAGTTTCAGTGGTTTTAAATGCTTGTAGCAATACAGTTGTTAAGGTTCAGAATATTTTGTGGCTGGTTATATGTCACTCTTAGTCCAGTCAGTGTTAGAAACCGAGGCTGAGAAAGACACCAATGTGCCAAGACTGTCCAAAGATAAGTGATAGGAGAAATAGGAGGAAAATCCGGGTTTTCTTCAGTGGTGTGATTTTTATTTCCCATGTTGAGTTAGATACTGGAATTGGAATCCAGGATCATAGTGAGAACTATGCAGGGGTTTCCCATCAACGTGTAGGAGAACAGCAGGGACTCTCCGGGCTCTGCAGACGTGACCTCGGTGCACCCTGCTGTTCAAATGACAGACCCACCCCTGTGATGGATGGAGTTCAGTCTAATAACTGTGCTTCAGTATCTTGAACAGCTCGCCATGCTCTACTCAGACCCAGTGCTCAGACTGTCTTACGTTTTCCAATGTTGCTTCATGATTTCCCTCTCGCTCTTCCCTGCACTCCTGAATGGTCTGTTTGGGGTCAGCTCCTCCACCCCAGATCATCCCTGTCTTCACAGTAGCAATATTGTGCTCACAGAGGTGACCTCAGTCAAACAGAAGGGGGCTTGCTGGCATTTTACTAAGCCATTCCCAAGACCTTCAGTTTGGTTTAAACGGGGTTTAAGGCTGGCTCAGATAGTAGAACTGGACAGTTGCTCTTATACATGTTTTGACTGATGGGATTGGACAGTATTGGTCTGTTCCTGGGGTTTATCTCTGGTTTTTCTCATGGTAGACACTTAGAGAAAAGAACTTTTAATCATAACAGACCTTCAAACTTTCCTTCCTGCTGTTCACTTTTCAGTCATGTGGGATCTTTTGTACTGCTGGTGAGTGCAGGAAGCAGTTATTTTTACCGCTCAGCTCTTTTCCGTAACTACCATGTTAATTTGGGTGTTTTGGGTATTACATTTCCAGCATTCATAATCACAGGTAACCAAACTATTGAGCGAATTATGGGTTTGGTAATACCCAGCTTTTAAGTACTGAGTAGTAACCCCTCAGTGTACTTGGGTGTTACATGATGGACCTTCCCAAGGAAGCAGAAGCTACTATCAAGTTTTGGCCTGAGTATAGCACTGACGATATTGCTCACCCTTTTCACCAAACACCTTATTCCTGGTAATTCCTCCAGTTTTCTCCCTTGCACAGTCAAGTCATTCAGGGAGAATTGATGGCGCTCTCCTCGGGTGGTTTTGGAGATTGCAGTGAAGAAGTGAGTCCATTTGTTTGGTTCCCTCATCAGTGCTGCTGGTGTTAGTCCAAGATGAGTAAATTACCAAAGAATAGTTATAGGTATTTGTTTCTAGCCTCAGTTGTTCATTTTCCATGTAGCTCCATTTTTAATATTCATTGCAAGAGTGCCTAGTGATCTTACTTTGCTTAGTCTGTCCACAAAGATTACATTCGTGTTGTGAGTGATTCTTGTGACTCCCTTCCCTCTTGTGACCCCCCCCATCCTGAGGGGGACTGTTGAACTTCATTATGGGGATATATTTGCTGCCTACGTTTCAAATCTTTGGCAGATTTTTGTATCTTAAAGATTAAGATACTTAAGAATCAGATATTCTAATGCAGATTTTCTTCCTTTTCCTTTACCTGAGCACTTGCTTTGTATATAGTTTGCAGTTGCAGAGTTAACAGATTAAAGTTATGATCCAGCTGTGTTGAGTGGTGGTTTGTGTCTTAATTTCTGCCCCATGGCCGGGAGGCACTTACTGAGCTTCTGAACTCATGTCCCTCGCCTGGTGCAGCTGTGGAATAAAGCAGGCTTGCCTAGACCCTTCATGAGGGTGACCTCTTCTGTTTTGTTTGCTTGCAAGAAGAACAGATGGGCTGCTGATTGCAGCAGCCAGGCGGGAGCTCTGAGGTTCGTGGTGGTCTCATGCCCTTATTTTCAATGAACCCACTTCTCCAAGGTTTCCAAGAGTCCCTTAATTAGCTTCTGTCACTATTGCTGCTATGGCTGAATTACTGAACTAGGGTACAGCTCTTCAGACCACCGTTGCAGAGCTGTGTGCGATGCAGGCAGAGCTGATGCTCTGGCCAGCCCATGCTGACCCCTGGACTCCCCTCCCAGCCAGGAACACACTTCTTCAGCTTAAAGCCAAGTGAAAAATCCCCGTGTGTGCTGCTGTCCACCCACTGCCGGAGCCTGCGGTGTGATCTCGTCTTAAAATGAGTTTCTGAGTGTTGCAGTGCTGTCAGTAACTTACTTGGAAATCTCTGAAGCGCAGACACCAGGAATTTGTCTGTGTTGCAGGAAAGGTGAGGAGGAAAGGAGAATACAGCTACATTTTGACTGAAGGGATCTCCTGCTCTCCTTGGCCTCTGCAAGCGGACACTTGTGTGAGTGGTGAGGATGGGCAAGGGGCACAAGAGAAACAGGGAAAGCCCAGCAGTGTTTGGTATTGCTCTCAGGATTCCTGAAGAGTTTAAAAACAGAGGGGATACTTGTTCATTGCTCAGGAGGGCTTAATCAGTACCGTTTTCAGAGAGATCAAGTAGATATCCATCTCGTTCTT